GGTGAGGGGGCCGCGGGGCGCTGCGCGGGGTCCGCCCGTGGAGGGGCCACAGTCCCCGCCGGGGATTTGAGGGACGCCTTCCACAGCCGCGAAGGGTAAGGCTCGGAGGGGGAGGGGGCTGGCCGTTCCGAGGAACGCCAGGAAAAGGAAGTTCCGGGACCCTCCCTGCTCTCGGCCCACCTCCGCTTCCTGCCTCATGCCTCACCTTGTCCCCAGCACCTGGCCTCCCCTCAAATGCTCGGAAAATGCGACCTTTACTCTGGGGGACCTGGGCCTGCAGCCCCAGCCTTTTCTTCCAGGGCTCTTCTTTGAGCCTCTGACCCAACCCTTCCCCAGGCCAGGCTCTGGGAACTGGCTCCTGGGATGCTACCCTGGGCACAAGTGGGCACCTGTGCCAGCCCTACTTGTGCCTGGGCCGTGGCCCTTCCCTACAGGGCGCTCACTATGGCCCCACCGCTCCTGCTGCTGCTGCTGGCCAGTGGAGCGGCTGCTTGCCCGCTGCCCTGCGTCTGCCAGAACCTGTCGGAGTCACTCAGCACCCTTTGTGCCCACCGAGGCCTGCTGTTTGTGCCACCCAACGTGGACCGACGCACAGTTGAACTGCGCCTGGCTGACAATTTCATCCAGGCCCTGGGACCGCCTGACTTCCGGAACATGACAGGGCTGGTGGACCTGACGTTATCTCGAAATGCTATCACCCGCATTGGGGCCCGCGCTTTTGGGGACCTGGAGAGCCTGCGCTCCTTGCACCTGGATGGCAACAGGCTGGTGGAGCTGGGCAGCGGCAGTCTTCGGGGGCCTGTCAACCTGCAGCACCTCATCCTCAGTGGCAACCAGCTGGGCCGAATCGCACCAGGGGCCTTTGATGACTTCCTGGACAGCCTCGAGGACCTGGACCTGTCCTATAACAACCTCCGGCAGGTGCCCTGGACTGGTATCGGCGCCATGCCTGCTCTGCATACCCTCAACCTGGACCATAACCTCATCGACGCACTACCCCCAGGCGCCTTTGCCCAGCTTGGCCAACTCTCCCGACTTGACCTCACTTCCAACCGCTTGGCCACCCTGGCACCTGATCCGCTCTTCTCCCGGGGTCGGGATGCCGAGGCTTCCCCTGCGCCCCTGGTCCTGAGCTTCAGCGGGAACCCACTGCACTGCAACTGTGAGTTGTTATGGCTGCGGCGGCTGGCCCGGCCCGATGACCTGGAGACCTGTGCCTCTCCTCCAAACCTGGCTGGCCGCTACTTCTGGGCAGTGCCCGAGGGAGAATTCTCCTGTGAGCCACCACTGATTGCCCGCCACACACAGCGCCTGTGGGTGCTAGAGGGCCAGCGGGCTACTCTCCGGTGCCGGGCCCTTGGTGACCCAGTGCCCACCATGCACTGGGTTGGCCCTGATGACCGATTGGTTGGCAACTCCTCTCGAGCCTGGGCTTTCCCCAATGGAACCCTAGAGATTGGGGTGACAGGCTCTGGGGATGCAGGAACCTACACCTGCATCGCCACCAACCCTGCTGGTGAGGCCACAGCCCGAGTGGAGCTCCGGGTGCTGGCCTTGCCCCATGGAGGAAATGCCAGCGCCGACGGGGGCCGCCCTGGGCCCTCTGACATTGCTGCCTCAGCTCGAACTGCTGCTGAAGGCGAGGGGACTCTGGAGTCTGAACCCATCGTGCAGGTGACAGAGGTGACTGCCACCTCTGGTCTGGTGAGCTGGGGCCCAGGGCGGCCAGCCGACCCTGTGTGGATGTTCCAGATTCAGTACAACAGCAGTGAAGATGAGACCCTCATCTACCGGTGAGGATGGGCCTTGCACATGCCCTTCAGACTGCTTGGTTCACTGTGCCCCTCCTTTCCTACTGACCCTGTGCCCCCAAGTTCTGCTTGCTCCCTCCTCCCCGAAGCCTGTGCCTGCTCCTCCTCTGCTACCCCCAGCATGGCTGGACCAGCTCCCGGGTGTGGGATGGGAGAGGACCGGGCTGCCTATAAGGGGCCTCAGGTGTAGGTATGTGTATATGCTGGCCTCTTGGACCACCAGGGGTGACAGCTGGGTGTCTTCTGAAGTACCTGCCCCACCCCTAAAGGATATTTCTGCCTCTGTTTGGTGCTACCACCACCCAAACCATGCATTGCCTGGGGCCTGTGTCAGTGCACACACCCATCTGTGCCCTGACTCCATCCTGCACCCGAATGGTGCTGTCCTTGTTTCCCTGCCTTCCGGAAGCAACCCAGGCCTGTGTGTTCACAGGGCCTGGGGGGGCTGTACCCCACCTTTGGGGGTGACCACCTGCCCTTGTTTGCAGGATCGTCCCAGCCTCCAGCCACCATTTCCTGCTGAAGCACCTGGTTCCTGGTGCTGACTACGACCTCTGCCTGCTGGCCCTGTCACCTGCCGCTGGGCCCTCCGACCTCACAGCCACCAGACTGCTGGGCTGTGCCCACTTCTCTACGCCGCCAGCCACACCCCTATGTCATGCCCTGCAGGCCCATGTGCTGGGTGGGACCCTGACTGTGGCTGTGGGGGGGGTCCTGGTGGCTGCCTTATTGGTCTTCACTGTGGCCTTGCTGGTTCGGGGCCGGGGAGCTGGGAATGGTCGCCTCCCACTCAAACTCAGCCACGTCCAATCCCAGACCAATGGTGGCACTAGCCCCATGCCCAAGAGCCACCCACCACGAAGCCCTCCACCTCGCCCCCAGCGCAGTTGTTCCCTGGACCTGGGGGATGCTGGTGGGTGCTACGGGTATGCCAGGCGCCTGGGAGGAGCCTGGGCCCGGCGGAGCCACTCTGTCCATGGGGGGCTGCTGGGAGTTGGGTGCCGGGGTGTGGGGGGCAGTGCAGAGCGGCTGGAGGAGAGTGTGGTGTGACAGGAGGGGCAGCTTCTCGTGTGCTCTGAGAAAGGAGCGGTACCATTGTTGGGTCCAGGTGGCAGCACCCAGCCTGGGTGGGCAGCACGGCCCTGGGCCCCGCCCTGCTTTTTATCCTTGGTACCTCAGGCTTTCCATGTACTTGGTGGGACAGCAAGCCCTTTCCTTGGTTTTGGCCTCCAGACTAAAGGGACAGGTCCCACCAACAGGTGCTCAGAGCCACCAAGGCAGGGGCTGCAGCCACCAAGAGGGAGTCTTGTTTCTATTTATAATAAAATTGTTGGGGACATCTCAGTGTAGGTCTTTGGTCTTGTCCTGTTTGGTCCCTGGGAAGGAGGGAGGGAAGGAGAGCAGGAGCTGGTAGAGTCATAAAGACCAGAACAGGTTTGTCAAGGCTAGAACCACCAGGCCCAGCAGGTGTTGCTCACAGCCTGTAACCCATAGCCAGCCTATGGGGTAGCTCAGGGCAGCAGTCAAAGAGCTGGGGTCTGGTGTCTCCTGACTGCCCAACTCTGGGACATCAGTACCCTCATGTGTCAGCATGAGGGCTGCCTCTTCCTGGCAGGCATGCATAGGACCTGATACCCCAGTGTGTGAAGCCTGGTGTGAACAACCTCCTTCAGGCACTAAGGCGCTGCTGAGGCCTAAGCAGCTGCAAGACTACATTTAGTGACCAGAGTTGACGGTGCAGCCCTGAGCAAAGGGACCCGAGGGCAGCACCCTCCTGAGCTCAGCTCAGTCAGAAGTCCACCATTTCCTGGAGAATCTTATGGATTTGTAAGCTGCCATCCAGAAAGCAGCCATCAGCTGAGGGCCTTCTGGAAGGTCCCAGGGGCTTCACAGCTGTTCTTCCAAGTAAGTCCCTGGAGCTGTGCACTGGGCTTTCCTGAAAGCCGCTGGGTAGTGAACACACCCTCTTCCTGCTCTAGTCCCTGTCCAGAGCCAGACAGGCAACAATTCCCTGCTCTGCTTCCTCTGCTTATGCCTGGCTGGGCCCCCACAGCCTCTGGCTTCTGAGGCCATGGCTTTACCACACCTGTGGACCCCCAGCTCTAGGCTGTATTTAGATGGGCCCTGCATGGGCCCCCACATGCTTAATGAAGGCAGAAGTGGACATTGGCATCCCAGGCCTGCTAAGGGGCCTGGCCAGTGACAAGGCCACAGCCATGTGCTATGTAGGCTTCTGATCTGTGTTTGGGCCACAGAGCTGACAGCCTTAAGGAGGCCAGCATTCTGTGTGTACACACATGTGCAACTGAGCTCTCATACAAATACATATGCCCAGCCTCCCAGCACCATAACATGTACCTGGATGTGACCAAGAAAGACTGGCTGAAGTAAATAAAAACATGACCCTCAAGAGAAATGAGTGAGAGAAGGGAAGGCATGCAGGAGAGGACAGGGAGGACATGGGTGTGCTGGGCAGGAAGGGCACAGGCTCCAAGTCCTATTGCTGTTCCTGTGGTCACCCTGAGAGATGTCCTGAGCCCACTGTATGGCCCAGAATACCTGGTGCTTGAAGGTTGGAAGCAAACAGAGGACTCGGCACCACCTTGAGTGCAAACCTGGGCGGCACAAGGGGACAGGCCAGTGTGTACCACACAGCTCCTCCCACCCCCAGCCAGCCACAGGACACCCAGAGCACGAGGCAATGGACCCCAGGATGTGAAGAGTGATTTTTATGACACATCTCTTTCCTGAGGGAAGAACATGAACCCCAACAAGGGGCTCGTGAGCACCTCACAGCAGAAAACAACCCCAGCACCCAGGAGATACCTTCCCTCCTGAGATGGGCTGGACATACTAGAGGCCCCAAACCTCCCTCCCTCCCACAGCGTTGTCTAAAGTTCTTTGCTCCCCCTATGGTCACTGACAGGACCTGTGAGAGAAATGCCTGTGTGCATTTCAGGGACAGCACTGACACCTGGACTCATGAGCCACCATGCCTTGACAACAGATGGGCTACAGGGTCAGCCCTGAGCACCACCCACATGACCAGAGCACCCTTGGGAGCCTCTGAAGAGGAGGGAGGGACTCCCACAGGAGCCAAGGGCCTAAGCCCACACTCAAGCATGCCCATAGGATAGACGGTATTTCTTGGCTGTCAATTCATCTCTGGCTACAGACACTAGTTATAGCCAATGGCCACAGCCCTGCACCTCACCACAGTCACACTCCCCAGCTATCCCAGAAGCACCTTCCCTTCAGGGGTTCTGGACCTTTAGAATTTCCTGGGGAGAGGCCTCTATTCAAACCTGTGGGGTCTGAGTTTCCAGGAGGCCTGGTGACACTGAATGGGGGGGTGGGGGGAGATAGAGAGATCATCAGCACCAGACTGAAGTCTCAGGCTAGATACCAGAGCAGGAGTATAGAGCCAGGGCCTGGTGGGCCAGAAACAGAAACCCCACAGGGCCCCTACACCAGCAGTGTCTGCCAACAGCCAGGAGGGGCTACTGGGCTGCTGAGGCTAAAGGCAGCCAGGGCAAGGCAGGCAGCACTGCACCTGCCCTTCACTAAGCATGTGAGCAAATGGACCCACCACTGGCAAAGGCGGATGGAAGGCGACCTCTCACCTTTACACCTCGGACACGGAACTCAGCCAGGGCCCTGCTCATCTTGGTGGCAGCTGTGGGGTGGTCTTTGCCATGGGCAATGACTTTGACAAGCAGAGAGTCATAGTGGGGGGAGATGACAGCCCCCTGGAAGGCTGAGGCATTGTCCAGACGGATGCCCATGCCCTCGCCACTCCGGAACACCTGTGGCAGAGGGAAGTCCATGTTAGGAGCTAGAACAAAATTGAGTGGGGTTCCCAGCATGGACCCCATATGTGGGGCTGCATGGTGCCGAGGCTTGGTTTTGTTTCTAACAGGAAGGAAGGGGGGAGGCCTCACTATCTACTCACATTTGCTCTCTTCCTGAAGGGGAGGATGAGGAATAGCAGAGGCAGAGGAAGCAGCCATGAAGATGGGAGACGAAGAATGAAGGCTAGGCACCCAGCGAGAATGGACAGGTGCACCAGGGCTCACTTGGCCAGCCAGGAAACAAACATGGAAGAGAGGCAGGTGGGGGGAGGGGGGACTGACAGACTCAAATGGAGGGTGAGGGGATGGGGTGTCTGGAGTGACTTGCACACATAGGTGAGTGCTCATGACAAGCATGGGACAGGTGAGGGACCTTCGGTTCATAGGGGAAGAGGGGGAGGGGCGGAGGCCAGAGGGGCTGGGGACACCCTCAGCATCACCCTCTGCTGCTAAGGGGTACCAGCTTTGTTCAATAAAGAGGAACTTAATGAAATATTTAAGGGTGGACACTCAGCTGTGTGCAGGAACCGCCAGCTAAAAATACTCTGTGGTGACCAGCTCTAAAGCCGGTTTTGGAGGTGGAGGTGGAGACACAGGCGGTGGCCCATGCAGCTGTCAGCTGAGCCCCAGTCCCTCAGCTGCCCCTGCCTAGCCAAGGGCAAAGGAGCCAGGGCAATGGGGCAGCACCAGCCCATGGGGGCTGTCCCCACCTAGGGGTTCAGAATTGAATGCTGATGGCCAGCTGCAGTGGCCCCCGAGGCCCCCAAGACCATAACAACACCCCTAGTGCCACATCCTTACCCCACACTCAACCACACTATTCTTGGAAGTTCCCAAAAGTCCAGTCTGACTCACGTTCACCCCTGCTGTCCCTGCCCTCTGCCCTGGATGCCACAGGGCGTCCTGAGTGCCTCTGATGTCCTCTGACCAATAGACTTGGCATAGTGCTGCCAACATGCATGACCTGGAGGGTGGGGAGCAGGCCAGGGCCACAGACTAGGAAGGGGAGGGACAGAGGCAACTTTGAACCTGACGGCTGGGCCCCAACATTTACAGGAAAGAGAAGCTGTGACCCTAAATTCGGCTTCTTGGTCTCCTTGGCCTTGCTCTCTACAGAGCTCACCCTTCACTCACCCCCAGGGGCTCTCTGTTTGGTTTACCCCTCCACAGAGACATCAACCTTAGTCCCCCACTAAGGTCTTGCCTTGCCAGTCATCCCCAGACCTTGACAGAAGCAGGATAGAGGAGCTCTGGCTCTGTCACCATGTACCTTTGGACTCTGGGGTGTCAGGGCTTGGGCTTTGCATTTGGGGTCCCAGAACTTCATCCCCCGAGCTGGTCTGCCTCGGACCAGGTGATCCCCTCACTGGCTTTCTCTCGGCTTTCTGGGGAATGTTCTCCCCTTAGTCTAGGACAGTGCTGGGTTCCCATGTGCTCTAGCTGGCTAGCTTAGACTGGGCTCCTGGGTGACAGTGCAGCAACCCTGGACACCCTAGAGAGCAGCAAGAAATGGTCTGGGCTGTGACTGATGCCCCACTTTGGAAACATCACCAACCTCAATGCGTCCGGTGTCAGGCTGGAAGCTGCGGGCAGGGTCCTCAGTGGTAACCCGGCACTGGATGGCACAGCCATTGATGCGGATGTTCTCCTGCCGTAGGCCCAGGTCAGGCAGACTCCTGCCCTCAGACACGTGGATCTGAGCATGGACCAGGTCCACACTGCAAGTGAGGAAACAAAGGGAGGAGGAACATGAGTAAGGGCACTGACAATGGAGCCGCACACTCCTCATCCCAAGAAGCCTGGGATCCTCTACTGGGTGATCCCATAGCCTGCCTGCTTTCCCCCAGGGTATCAGAAGAAAGCAGCCACCCAACAGACTTCCAGAAGACACATATTCATCTGCCCTTCGCCCTCTGCCTGCCCCTGCCCCTGCCCCAGCGCCTGCAAGCTCCTGCCTCCCTGATGTCAAGGTCACAGGGTTAGGACACCTGCTCTTAAAGCATGGGGGCTATGGTGTGTGTGCAGGGAGGGTGGGCTGAAAAATGGGAACCACATGGCCAGAACATGCCTGTAATTTCAGCATTGAAAAGGCGAGGCAGGAGGATTAGAAGTTCAAGGTCATCTTGGCCCTTTAACAAGCTTGAGGCCAGCCTGAGCCTCATGAGGCCCTATCTAGAGAAACAAAAGAAAAAAAACAACCAAACAAAAGCAGAACTGCATTAAGTTGGAGGCCTACAAGGGTGGACATGGTTGGGACACTGTCCTTGGTGCCTGTGCTCACTGAACCTGTGCTCAAGGCCCCTTGAGCAAAGATCTCAGAGCAGAGGCTCTCCATATCTGCATGGCTGTGTAAGTCCAGCCTGTGCAGGCCATTCCTACAAATCCAGGTGGTACAGCTGTTAACACACGGCTCTCTGCACTTAAATGTATTGTCTCTGAGACTTGTGGCCAGCACTTTGCTGGCAGATTTTCCTCTGTGCTCAGTGTCACCTTC